GGTTACGGGAGTCTGGGACACTTTTTCTTTTAGAAATCCCCACACAAAAAAATCTAATGGATTTATGTCAGGGGATCGTGGAGGCCAGGCGACTGGTCCTCCACGGCCGATCCATCTTTCTGGATAATTTTCGTCCAGCCAGTTTCTATCTATTCTCGAATAATGAGCTGGACAACCATCAAGCTGGAACCAGGCTAATCTTCTTACTATAAATCTAACATAACATCATCCCACATATTTGCATGTTCAGCCTTTAAAAATTCCAAGAAGGTCGCAGCATTTAACCTTGCAGGCAAAAGGTAGGGTCCAAATAGTCGATTACGATAGATACCAATCCACACGTTCACACTAAATTCATGCTGAAAATTTCTTTCCTGAACTGCGTGCGGATTTTCATGCGACCAAATATGTTGATTATGAAAATTTACCACTCCACGTCTAGTGAAGCATGACTCATCGGTCCATAAAACGTTACTTAAAAACTCCCTATTATTATCAGTTCTATCAAGAATCCACTGACAAAATGTGATTCTTCGTTCTCCGTCCACCGGCTGTAGTCCTTGCACAGGTTGCAAATGGTAAGGACGTCTATGGTCATTTCTAAGAACACGGTGAACATGGCTTGCTGAAATTCCTAAGGCACCAGAAACTCTCCTAACCCTTGTGGTCGGATGTCTATCAAACTCAAGCAGAATCATACGGGTAAATCTGCGCTGACGAACATTTATGTTTTGATCCCTTTGGGAGATTTTCAAAACCATTTTCAATTATTTGGCGATGCACTCTTACAAATACTGAGCGAGTTGGACGTCGTCTGTTTTTAAATCTTCGTGCGTATTCTCTGGCTGCTTCTGCTGCGTTTCCATTTACAAAGCCATACACAAAATGAATATCCGCTAACTCTTGATTGGAGAATTAAAATGTCATTTTTATAAAACTTACAAAAAAAAACCAGGTAAAAGAAACTAAATTTCGTACATTCACAATTGCAAAAAAAACGTTTCAGGTTTCAACAGACAACAAAACTAACTGTCAACTAATTGACGTTTAACCTTATTTTGCTTTCAATTTCAAAAATATTTGCAGGCACAGCCTACTCCAAAAAATTATCGAGATACTGACTTTTTAACGTTATTTTATCATAAATAATTAAAAATGCATCGAATCTTAAAAATCGAAATATCTCAAAAACGGCTAACTATAACGAAAATTCACAATAGAGCTTTTTTATGTTGAAAAGTGCGAAGAATCAGTTTTTTTATTTAAAAAGCAACAAATTGCACTAAGAAAAAAATTTCGGTCATTTTAATACACTACAGGTACAGTAGAGAGCGCCCTCTAGCGGTTACAGTAAAACTATGCCCATGGTTCGTTTTGTCGTACCAAAAAACCCTTGTATACCAATTTTCACTGCTATACATCAAATATTGTTCGAAATATTTAAAAAAAAACTATTTTAGAAAGTATGTATTTCGGAAGCCACGCATTTTTCGACCCATGTTTATATAGACTTTATGCATTAATTTTAAAAGTTCTATCGAATCTTTAAGTTATGCAACAATAAACTGAAACACCCTGTATAGTTTACTCAAAAACTTTATTTTGAGTATAGGAAACGGGGTAGAGATAGTATTTTGATGGACAGTCAAGAGATTATTTTATGGAGAAGAAATTATTTAAAACCAATAAAGAACACAAAACCTAATGTAGGGGCTGACTCTACAATTAAATCAGCAAGATAGATAAAATAACTACTGGCCTAAAGAATCCGTCAGGTACGTGTATCTAACCAATTCGTCATTTGTGGTGTAAAAATGGTGTCAAGTAGACTGAATCTATGAGCCCACGCTGAAAATTTAGCTACACTATATTTGGTAGATTTGGAACCAACAGCTGTTAGAAACTCTGCTTGTATTATTATTAGTTTTCTTGGATACTATATGAAATAATTATTTCCAGGAAAAGGAAAACGATTTGTTATCTGTCACATTGGCAGTGAAGATGGCTTTGTGCCCACTGCCCTATGGGCATTTGAGTCATAGAAAACGACCGACTACCATGAAGAAATGGTTGAACGATGGTTTGAAGAAACGCTCCCATTGCTTGACGACAATGCCGTCATTGTACTTGATAATGATGCCACTAGAAAACTAGAAAAAAATCCCACAATATCCACAAGAAAGGCAGACATTCAACAGTGGCTCCTATCAAAAGGCATTAATTCAACATGGTCAAAACGGAACTTATCCATCTGCACTTTCTATAAAAATAATAATGTATTTTGTTAGATTATTCCAAAACCATTGAGGAAAATATGGACCTGTACAATCTCGCTTTTGGGCATGTTGTGTTTTGTCTGGACGTAAATGGACTACGAATGGGGTATAAGGACAAAAAAGCTTTCGATGTCAAAGGCGCATCTGCTTTGTTTATGTTATATGTCAAGTGGCTAAAGAGATCCTGGGTTAACGGGGTACATTGAGTACCGCGCTAATCAGAATCGTACGTCGCTCGGGTTACCAATGCAAATGAACAAGATATTTACTTACAGTAGCACACAAAAGTATGAATACGAATAAATTAGGTCCGTATCTGCCTAAGTTCATTTCCAGTCTTCCTGACCGTTTGCAGCTCATCAAGCTATTTATATTTCTATAATTATAGCAATATTTAACCTTGTTGTAACCCAAATTTCAAGTTTCAAGTAGAGATTAAGATCAAGATTACCTTTTATATTAAACTCTTAAGTGAGTTGAATTTTCAACATCTATCGTTACAATCTGATACTATATAAACTAATCAGTTTGCACCTATTTTGGTGATAATGGGCTTAATAGTATTATATTCTCCTGAACTTGTTTAGGACATACAGGCACGATATTAGCAAAAATTTCAATAATTATGCGTTTCAAGGTCACGCCATCCAATAACAACCACACCCATCACGATTTTACTGCCGCGGTATTTGTTATGGTTTATCTTAGTGATTTATTTAGTCTAAGAGTGATTCACTCTTTACCGTAGACAGCATAAGCCTTGTTTGTCGATGAAACATCATTGGAAGAAAATGGGTGTTGGTAGCAATGACGCATCATTCAATTAGCCACGTGATTTTCTTGCGAAAAAGATGTTCCTTCCTTAGTAAGACTGCATTTTACGTCATTTACAATTGTCATTGTATTATTTATCTTTATCTCACGTAAAAATTTTAATTCCACCTATATGTATTGACTTTATACGTTATATACATGCCCTAAGAAACACACATCATGTTCGTCTGTCTGTCGTCTGCCTACCCTAAAACCCTTAAAGCCAGATTTCCTAACTGTCGAATAACGATGCAAAATTCAGCTATGTACCTGACATTTTTATGCGTCTTGCAGCTGACAGCTAGAGCAACATATAAGTCAATGCCGCACCCTCAGACGTATTCGGCAACTAAGAAAATCCCGCGATTACTTCCTTTTAGGCGAATGCTGCACTTAAGTATTTACGGTGATCCGTCAATATGTATCATGAAATGTAGAAGCCTATGTAGAAATCCACTGAAAGTAGCAGATCCATCAATGAATGCTGATGGTACGGACCACCTGGGATTTCAATTTTACAACATTTCAACTTCTAGTTTTTAAAATTTCATGAGTTCGTCAAGAAATTCCTCTTCGAAAATATTCTGTTCACATTCTTATTGTTAGAGTGATGCATCATCGTCGATTTGTTAGCCGACTATAGAGCTATCCAAGCCACACCTTTACATCTTCAAAGTGATTATCAAGTCGTCGCTGCCATAGCCAAAACAATGCAAATCAGCTCATATTTGCTCATAGCTCTGGAAACGCTAACCGTTTCTGAGAATGCGTATACCTATCCAGTCTTTCACACCTGTGAGTTATTCTTGAAGCGGGGGCGTAGAATGTTTAAAAGAAAGTAAGTGGGTGTGGCTCTCTCACCTTTCGGAAAAATATTCTTAAACGACTCGCCGTTGTCCATAGGTCTTATCTCTAAAGACAAAGTTAACCTTGTGGTGGAACTTTCAATCATATGAATAAGCCAGGAATCACCAATAATGGATACATTCACATACTTGTATGACAAAAATGTCACCAACTGTCAAAATTTAAGATTGTTCCCCAGGGAAGGAATCCTAAGAATAAGGGTCCAAGGGTCTGTTCTCGAATAACGAAGGGTCAATATCGCATGCGAGATAGCTAAAATGTCACACGAAACTCATAAAGTGCTTTTTTAAATCTCGTAATCGAGATTTCTTATTTCGACAAAATCTCACCAAGCTAAGGCCTTGCGACAATAAATGATGCGTTCAAGATTTTTTTGCAGGTGACGAAGTAGGAGTTTTCTTGAAAGTACTTACTTTTTTCTTCGTTACATACAAAAGTGACAGCACGGGACTAACAATAGCAATCACAAAAATAAAATTCCAGGGTCCCATGCGAGATTCGAGAACTAATCTTTCCCCTCCTCCCGGCATTGTGAAAAATCTATAACCTTTAAATAGCACCTATAGCAGACTGAATTAACCAAAAAATGACAGATGATGTATCTTCTGATGCCATCATCCAGATTTTCGCTGCGGTATATATGTTGGCTAATATGTCTTGAGAATGCAAGAAACATGGCACCGAAAGGTTTTTACACTAATTTCCCCTTACAATTAGACAAAAATATCTAAAGTCTATGTATGCGAGAAATACATAAAACTAAAACAATAACCGTGTTCAGTGCATGATCAGCTCGTTGATATATTTCAAGAAACTGGGAGCATAGCTCTGATTGGGCAGAATCGGTCAAGCCCATATACAGGCCCAATGTCAAACCAGGAAGGTGGAATAGAAGATGACACGGCGGTGCAACAAGCCTCGCTGGACTTTAACGTGCTGGAGTCCGAGCACGTGAAGGATGCATGAATATGTTTGGCTTTAGTTTCTTTTTTCGATAGATGGACTATACCATTGAATCATCCAGCAGTGCCCCTTTGATTCCAGATGTTCAGCATGCAACTTCACCGCGGACATCAAGCAAAGTCTGACCGTGCACGAGATGAACCATCACGTGCCGCCTGTGGGTCAAGTGGCTTCCGGCAGCGTCGCTTCCGGAGGCCGAAGGAGAAACAAAGTGGGGGCCAGCGATGCCACTGCTGCCGAAGAAGCTGCCGCGGCTGCAGCTGCAGTGGGACACGTCACGGGTGGGGTATCGGAAGGAGTAGAGGAGATGGTGAAGAGTGAGGAGGGACAGCAGATGACGTCGACGCAGGTGCTGGTGAGTTGTGTTATTTTGATGTGGTTTTATAGTTGCCCACAAGTATAAAAGCTTGAAGATGAAATTTTGTTTTCTCGTCGAAATTCTCACCCAGCACAATAGTCGTGACATACATCCTTTTATTCCTACAGCCACGGGCGTTAATTTGAAACTGATAATTTCATTCCAGTTCGTGGTCTCTATGGAGACAGCGCATATTTGGTTGTATGTCTTAGTAAATATACAAATCATTCAAACTTCTTATTGGGAGAATATATATATATATATATATATACAGGGTGACTTCGAAGTTGAGTCATTTATTTTAACAGTGAGTAGATCTGATCAAAAGAAATGTTTTTTCCTTTAACATTTTTCTGGTAGAACTAAAGTAACAAAGTTATAGCCTTTTAGAAGTTTGAGTACCGCCCTGTCTCAATAATAATATTATGTGCTCGTGTTTGGCAACAACGGATATAGTCCGCCTTATCGGTGCATCGTATCGGAAACAAAAAAGCGAAAGAATTTGAAACGCTTATCACGATGTTTTTACTACAATTTTATTCAGTTGTATTCAGTCAATGTGTCAGTCGGTAACGCGTGAGTGAATAGTGGTGTTTGTTGCGTGGCTCAAACGAAATAAAAAATGGCACATGTTTACGAAAATGCTGAACTTGTGGACATGATTCTTATTTAGGGGGGGCGGGCTTTACAAAATGCTGCCGCGGCATCACGGATTTATGCGGATCGATTTCCCAATCGGGTGCAACCAACCCCTCGTGCCTTTGTTAATGTAGTACAAAGGGCTCGTGAATCAGGTAACTTAAGACCTCACAGGGGAGGGCATGCCGGTGCTCCAAGACCGCACGATCAAATACAGGTCTGCACTGAAATACTTGTCGGGAGGATACTTTATAAAACAAGGTAAACTTTTATTTTATTTTTGTTTTATTTTTACACACATATTTTGGTTTATCTTCCTTCTACAATCATTATCTGAAAATTAATGACTCAACTTCAAAATCACCCTGTATATATATATATATACAGGGTATATATATATATATATATATAACAACAAGTAGGAAAATAATGGGCAAAATCCGCAAAAAGGAGGAAAGTGGATTCGAGCAGAAAATAGGATAGGTGACCCGAGCGATACGTATTTCTGCTGGTTGGCTTCATCAGGCCCGAAATGAATGCACATATGAAACTACAAAAGTAGATACACATGCCCACACATCCGGGTACGAGTGTAACCTGAGGAAACGAAGTTGGAGGGGAAAAAAACGTTGCTCCTTAAAAAACGTTGAACCGTATATCCTAGTTGCGCTTTCCAGTGGATCAGTGAGTTATTCTAACTACTTTGCCTATGTTCAGTCTATATAATAGCAAGCAGTATAATGATGTGGGAAGGACTCTGTGATGCTAAAAAGGTTTTTGTTATGCAAAAAAGAATACTGAGGTCTATTACAAACCGCAACAGACGGAAAAGTTGCAAGCAGCAATTTCTGGAGCTTTAATAAATACATTTGAGCCTTTACTTTATACAAAGTCAGGACAACGAGATTTCAAGCAACTAAATCACAGCACGAAATGTCCAACTTGAAACAGATCCACACTTCATATTCCCAGTTTTCGATTAGTTAACATTAGAAAAGAGCTCTAAATATGGACGTTATATTACAACAAACTTCCATACAAATGAGCTTAATATGATAAAAATGAAATTCAAATCTGTATTAATGAAAAAAGCTTATTATTATTGACGATAAAAACATGAACATCTGCCAATACTATAACATATATAATATTTGTTTATTTCATTTTAATATGAAATTATGTTCGTTTTATGTGATTCTATTTTTGCATTACCTTTACTTCTCTAATCTGTTCGGTTAATTTTCTCTTACAGTTACATAATTTATGGAGAGATTTATGAATTTTCCATTATTCTAATATCGTGATGTTGTAATACTATGTTTTTATATCTAAGTTCGATCCTACACAATTTTGGTGTTTTTTATTTCTGATAATGATTCATCCTGTGTACTGAACTACTGCTATTTTTCAGTGCTTTATTCATTTATTATAATATAACTCTATATGCTCTTAAATGAATATGTTCGCAAGGGACTGTGGACACTTTATTTCTCTCTTTACTACTCTGGTGCAGGCTGTCATTTATGCCAGGCCGCCATCTGCGAAGTGCGCCTGATTTTTTAACTACACGTTGTTTCGGCGGAAAGCTTTTTATAGTCCCAATTATCAAAGTCTTGACTGTTTGAGAGATGAGTTTGAGGAAATGCACCTGTTGGAAATAATGCAAGTGGATTTGGGTATGAAATGTTTACCAGTCAGCTAAAATCATTTGCCGGAGTGGAGTAGTAAACGCCGACCTGAATAAACAAATACATATTTTATTTCCATGCTTAAGGGAAATCGATGGCAGGAAACCGACCATTTCCATATAATTTTACGCGAGGTTGGAAATGTTTGGCCGGAAAAGTGGTAGTTTCGTGGAAATATCAACTATCACCTATTGCCCTAGATTTATGTATTGGGAACAAAATATTCCAGGGTAAACAAGCAACAAGGTATTAGGTGAAACAAAACAATAGTTCAATTAATTCTACCTTGAGTAATGGATACCGGTGATTTTTGGTTACATAACATGACAAAGAACCCGAAGGGACAAAATTGACAGCCACGTAAACTGTTGATCTTGTTAACTGCGCTAAAACAATCTACTCCGGCGAGCTTTTTTTATCACGATCCAGCAGCAGCAAAAGGAGTCCCGGCAATCCGAGTACCGCTACTTCTACTAATGGCTTTGTTTGTAGCTTTGAATTGATTAAGACGTGTGAGATAGGCAACGCTTTCAACTTGTAGATCTCTGACACCCTAAGAATAAACGAGCACACGCTTCAACCAGTTTCAGCTGTGAAAAACAAGCTGGAATATGAGGCAGAAATGTGGCGGGTTCAGGAGAACAAATTACATTGGTATATTGATAGAAATTCAGAACTGCCAACTACTGAAGTTGAAGCTAGAAGTAGATAGCACTAGTTAGTTTGTCGGTCACATATACGGTTATAAACACCTTGTCTTTCTATCAAATCTGTCAAAGTCATGCATGGGCTACATAGCTGTCGAACGTGCAACACGCAACGGTTTGATTGACGTTTGATCTCCAATCAGATTAGCGCCGCCTAGCGGGAACAAAATTGGACGTCACTGCCATTGGCACAAATTGTCGGATTATAGTAAGGGCAGCAACTCCCCAAAGGTGAAAATTTTACACTTTAATCCTTGTCTAATGTTGCACCATATTCTCTGTCTACATCCAGGTAGTGATGTTTCATTACAACCGCTATCAGTTTTATTGTCTGATTCATCCGCAGAAATCGGTTTGTGATATAAGCAGGCATAAGCCAAGCATTTGAGATCGGCCTACGTTACTCCTTTTATCTGGAGTTGCTTAATCTCAAGCATGTCACCCGGCAAGCTGAGTGCTTTATTTTTGCTCGTGTTCATCTCTAAGATGACCGTACTGTTGAATGAGAATCCAGAAACAGCGATGTACCGGGATCATGGATAATTACATCCCGATGTGCGATGTTCGAGTTGCGCATTTTTCCGCCATTTCTTGAATATGTTGTTGTTCATACAACTTCAACAATCTATACCATGAACTCATTTGTATTCAAAAAGCCTTGCAAATTCAAACCATTTGGCACTTGCGCATACAAGCTAGACATTCGTACAAGAAGATAAAAGAAGTCAAAAGGACGAAGAATCCGTTGTACACTTTGTATAACATTCGTAAAATCAACGTTCATTTTAGAAATCTACTAAAACCTTTGTTAAATCCATTCCTTCGATCCAGAACTCTAATTTATCGCTAAAACAAGTGTGGTGATCTGAAAAGAAGCAGCGGAAAGAGAAGAGATCCTCCAGGCAACTCGACAAGAACACCCAGGTAAGAGCCAATCCGACATTGTCTTTGTATGTCTGGGGTATCGATCATTTAGTCAATTTCCGGTACCAGCGACCCACAGGGAACCTCCTAGCTTATGTCACGCAATTGTGGAGTAAACTCATCCAGTCTCATAGTGAGGATCATATCGTTGCTCTTGATATCACGAAAGTGTTCGATCAGCTGTGGCACGATGCCCTCTTCGATCCTATGACCTCCCAGAGAAGCTTTGCAGATCGGTGGCTGACTTTTCCTCTGGTCGCAAGATATCCGTCGTAATTGACGGGTTCTCCAGGGATCGGCCTTGGCTCCGGCACTGTTCCTCTTACATACCAACAATCTCCTTTTTGTATGATAAATTCAGTCCACAGCTTTGCTGAAGTCAGCACTCTACATGCAGGAATTGAGAGCGATCAGCCGATCTCTACCGGTGACCTGGAAAATAGAAGACTGGCAGAGACTTCCTCACTGACGAGAGCCATGGAGGTTATCACTGCTCGGGGACGCAACTATCTTGAACACTTTAATGCTTTCAAAACACAGTACTTTAACTTGACGAATAAAAAGCGTTATAGCGCTCATCCGGTTTCGATAGATGGCAGAGTTATGTCAAAGAACTGTTTATTTCGGCTGGTCGGAGTCAAGATCACCGAGGACTTGATCTGGCACGAAGACATCTCGCCAATAAAGGCAGCTGCTGGGAAAAAGCTAGGTTTTTCTTTTAGGGCTAAGAAGTACTTTTCTCCACAAGACCTCCTCACTCTATACGGGCCAGATAAGACCTAGCCACAAGTTTTGCTCAAACGTGCTGCCGTCCCGGTTAGATTATTCATGCTCGACGCTGTCCAGAGGAGGGCTGTCCGACTGATCGATGATTCTTCTCTAACAGACAGTCTCGGGAACGTTTCACATTGGCGGCCTGTCGGCGAGCTAGCTCTCTTCTACCTGTACACCAACGGGCTTTGCTCCTCAGAGCTATCCTCCTTGGTGCCGCTGCGCGATGTGCCTGCCAGATAGGCCCGCCTGACTTCGACCTGCTAACCGTCCATCTAGGAGTAGCCGATACGATCGCTTCTTTGTCCTGGGGATCGAGATTGTGGGA